GGAACAATTTACTACAAGAGCGTGCAATTGCTGGCTTAGGCCGATGACATCGACATCATCGGTAACAAAAACCGCGAAGTCTGTTCTGCCTTTTCCAAGTTGGCTAGGGAAGCAAAGCGCATGGGTCTGGTGGTAAACGAGGACAAGACGAAGTATCTCCTGTCATCAAACAAACAGTCAGCACATTCGCGCCTGGGCACCCACGTCACTGTTGACAGTTATAATTTCGAGAAAGTAGAGAATTTCGTTTACTTGGGAACCAGCATTAACACCGATAATAATGTCAGCATTGAAATCCAACGTAGAATCACTCTTGCCAACAAGTGCTACTTTGGACTGAGTAGGCAATTCAGGAGTAAAGTCCTCTCTCGACGTACGAAAACCACGCTCTATAAGTCACTCATCATGCCCGTGCTGGTATATGGCGCAGAAGCATGGACAATGACAACATCCGATGAGGCGGCTCTTGGGGTTTTTGAGAGAAAGATTTTGCGGAAGATTTACGGTCCTTTACGCGTTGGCGACGGCGAGTACCGCAGACGATGGAACGATGAGCTGTATGAGCTTTACAACGATATGGACATAGTGCAGCGAATTAAAATACAGTGGCTCCGCTGGCTCGGTCATGTCGTTCGAATGGACACCGACGCTCCAGCTCTGAAAGTATTCAACTCGGAACCCGCTGGTGGTAGCAGAGGAAGAGGGAGGCCCCCACTGCGATGGAAAGATCAGGTGGAGAAGGACTTGGCTTCACTTGGCGTTTCCAATTGGCGTCAGTTGGCACAGAGGAGAAACGACTGGCGTGCTTTGCTGAACTCGGCCAAAATCGCTTAGGCGGTTACAGCGCCAAAAAAGAAGAAGAAGAAGAATATGCATTGCCGAAATGGGGTTGCCAAAAAAGTGAGGTTATGTAACTGACATCACCTTGTTTCTTCCACCACGGTAAGTAGATGTACTAATAGTACCTTTTCTTTTTCGAAAAGGTCACTATTTTTCCATATGAACTAGGGATGTTTCGAATGTCATATTTTTCACATTCGCGAATGCGAATGGGAATGCGAATTTTCGGAATGCGAATGTGCGAATGCAATTCAAAACTTAAACTCACACACACATTTTCATTTTCAATCTCAAACAATAACAATTGTGAACGATTTGAGTTTTTTATTTTAAATTTTATATGATTTTAAAATGCTGGCTAACGTCAGAAAAATTGAGAGAATGAATTTACCTTGTAATGTTCTTATCACGAATATTAATAATGTCTCCCCCAGGGATCACATGAACCTACTGTAAAAATTTCATTAAGATCGGTTTGGTGGGTTGGTTGGTTGCAGTGCTTCCTAGTCGCTGCCCAGGACACAATTAGCGCATTATTGCGCCATTTTGATGCACTTCTCGCGGGGGATAAACATTTTGTCTATGCACTTCCTATGTTGCTAGATCGAACCATTTCGACTCTCGAATGAATCTGCCGATTTCGCTAATGGTAGCTCCTGATAGGTCGGTTAGTTCTGCTACTAGATGTTTCCCTAACGTCTTGTGTCTAATGTTCGAAAGGCCTGGACATTCACACAGGAAATGCTGGACACTTTCTTCGCTATCTTCTAGTTGACAGCTGCGGCAAATCATATTATGGGGTAGACCTATTTTTGCCGCATGTTTGCCTATGGGCCAGTGGCCCGTGGTGGTTGCTATAATTCTAAATACCGCTGGCCTTGATCTGCTAAGCAGGTCCAAGGTTTTCGCCCTGTTATAGTCAGGCCATAGTTTTCTCGCTATCTTACAAGTCTGTATATCTGACCACCTGCGTCTAGCCAGTTCAAGGAAATGCGTAGTAATCTCTCTTTGGACTACTCCAAGGGGGCAACCCAGTGCCACCGCCTGGGATTCATCCAAACCGGCTCCTGCCTTCGCCAACTCATCCGCCTTCTCATTGCCTTCTATGTTCCTATGTCCGGGAACCCAGACAAAAGAGACGGTATTTGACTGAGCCACTGAGCGCAATATTACTTTGCCTTTCCCAACTAGCTTAGATTTGGTAACCGGTGACGCTATTGCCAATAGCGCCGCCTGGCTGTCAGAGTATATTGTTGCTTTACTCCTGTGTCCAACTCTATTGCCTAGGATTTTGCAAGGCTTCTAGGATCCCTAGGACTTCCGCTTGGAAGATGCTCGTATTATTTCCCAACCGTAGAGACAGAGCCACGCCGAGTTCCTTGGTGTAGACACCTGCTCCCACACCGCAATCCATCTTGGATCCATCGGTGTATAGAGAGATCTTCTCTCGGTCGGCCACTCGGTCTCTTCTCCAGTCCCTTCTGGATGAGAATAGCACTTGCACGTTACAGCTGAAGTCCAAATTCCCTACCATATAATCTGTCGTCCTATTTAATTGCATTTGATTTGTGATCAACCCATGTCCGAAGTGTCTAGTCCTCCAAAGGCCTGACTCTCTGAGTCTGACCGCCGGTTTCATAGCCACTTCTTTCAGGTGGAGATCAATAGGAATTAAATTGAGGATGGCGTTTAAAGCTTCTGCCGGGCAGGATCTTAGTGCGCCTGTTACTCCTTCGCTTGCTGCCCTTTGTATGCTTCTTAGCTTTCTGACATTATATTGTCTGCTTAGGCCGGGCCACCAAACCAAGGCGCCGTATGTTAGAATTGGTCTTATGATCGCGGTATACATCCACATCACAAGTTTAGGATTTAGTCCCCAGTTTCTACTGAAGATTCTCTTGCAAGTGTAGTATGCTATGTAGGCCTTCTGTCTACGGAATTCGACATTGGTTTTCCAGTTAAGTTTGTTATCCAGCACGACTCCAAGATACTTTGCGCTGGGGGACAATGAGAGTGCCTTGCCGTCTAGCGATGGTAGCTTGAATTGTGGTAGTTTGTGTCTGTTTGTAAATAGGATAAGTTCTGTCTTGGCTGGGTTCACATTTAGGCCGCTTCTCGTAGCCCAGGCGTGTAGCCTTCCCAGGGTTCCTTAAAGGATTTCGCTAACGGTAGAGAGGAATGGACCTGTGGCTGCTATTACAACATCATCCACATACGCCACAACTTTGACTCCCCCTCTATTGAGTTCTAGCAATATACCGTCCAGGGCTCACCCATATCAGTGGTGAGAGCACTCCGCCCTGTGGAGTGGCCCTTTTCACATGGTGTATAATAGAGTTAGCCCCATTTGTTGCCTGAATGATTCTATTGACTAGCATCGATCGTATCCATCTACAAACACTGTCGTCAACACCAATATCTATCAAAGAGTCTATGATGGTGTCAACCTCAATGTTATTAAATGCGCCCTCGATGTCAAGAAATGCCGCCAGAGTATATTGTTTAAAGTGCAACGATTTTTCTATTAAGCTCACCACTTCATGTAAAGCAGATTCAGTGGATCTGCCTTTGATGTATGCATGCTGTGCTGTTGAGAGTGTCGCTTCACCTAACAGCGATCTTATATAAATGTCGAGAAGCCTTTCCATTGTTTTATGCACAAAGGAGGTAAGGCTTAGGGGTCTAAAATCTTTTGCTATTTCGTGGTTTTTCCTTCCTGGCTTGGGTATGAACACGACTTTTACCCTTCTCCAGCTTTTAGGAATGTAGCACAAGGTAATAGTAGCCTTAAAAATAGTCTCAAGTAACGGTGCTATCTCTTCCTTCACCCTCTGGAGAATTGCTGAGATTACGACATCTGGTCCAGGGGATTTGAAGGGAGAGAAGCTGTTGATAGCGTAAATAATCTTTTCTCTGCTCACGATCGAGTTCAACAGTATACTGCTAGTTGAACCAGGTTCAATTGACCCTGATGTGGGTGGATGTCGAATACATCCCGGGAAATGGAACTTGACTAACGTGTTTAGAGAATCACTAGCTGTATTCGTCCACACCCCGTTTTCTCCCTTAATGAGTGGATATTTGTGTGTTCTTTTGATAAGATTTTGCTGAGCCTGGCTGAGTCTTTAGAGTTCTCTATAGAAGAGCAGTACCATTGCCAGGATTTAGTTTTAGATTTTCTCAATTCCTTTTTGTAAGATCTTAGGGCGCTTTTATAAGGCGCCCAGTTTTTAGTTCTAAAGCAATCATTGTAGATTTTCCTTATTTGGTTTCTTTGGGCTCTAAGATCCCCATTCCACCAGGGTGGGGATTTCTTTCTTGCCGTACTAACTGGAGTTGATCTTTCAAAGGCTTGCTTCATAACCTCTTCTAGATTATTTACTCTATCATCAAGGTCCTCAACTGTAGTGACAGTTGTATTTAGTGGGAGCTTACTTAGTTTACGCTTAAGTGTGTTACTATATCTTTCCCAATTAGTCCTGTGGGGGTTTCTGTATTTCGAGGGGGTGTTGGAAATTCCGTGCAGATTAAAGAGGATCAGACGGTGATCAGACATTGAAGGCCTATCAGATACTCTCCACTATTTTACAGACACGCTGTCGTTCTCTGACAACAGGGTTAGATCCGGCACCTCCTTCCATCCAGGAAACCGGTTTGAACTCGGGAATATGAATGTGGGTGTATTACCTCTATTGCAGATGCTTAAGTTAGTATTTAATAAGAAGTGTAGTAAAGACTCACCTCGATCGTTCTCCGTAGAACTACCCCATACTGGATGCCTTGCATTCGCATCGCAGCCGACGACTATAATTTGTCTGGGGTTTTTGGCTATTATCTCCTTGATTTCGGTTGGCGGACTGTCCCTATCGTGGGCCATGTATGATGAGGCCAGGAGTATACTTGGCTGTCCGGTGGTCTCCACCTTAACCATTGTTGTATCTGATGTGCTGAAATTAGAGCAAAGGAATGCATTTATACCGTTCTTGATAAGAATACACGCCCGCGGTTTACCCACCTCGCTCTTATAGTAGAGTTTATAATTATTTATGTTTAGTCCCATGACTGTATCGTGCTTGACCCAGGGCTCTTGAATTAGGCAATGTCTATATCCTCCTCACTGAGAAGAACAACTAGATTATCTGTAGCACATTTGGGCTACTTTAAGTTTCCGGTTCAGGGTCATCTGTCAGCTTCACACCCATGAGAAGCTCACCAGCTCCATCAACCCCGGGATCTTCTTCTACCGGGCTAACCTCTACGAGGAATACCCGCACTCTAGCCTTACGGATACCGAAGCAGAGCCGACAGTCAGCCTTCTCTAAGGCGTCTAGGGATTCTGCGCAAATAGCTAGCAGAATGGGCTTATTTGTAGGCCTTCTTGGCTCTTCAACCTTTATAAGCACCCATTCCTCGATCGCCAGTATGTCTTTATTATGCAGCTTAAGACACCGCAGCAACTTTTCGCCTGGTTCATCCATCGGAAGCAGCCAAATGCGCGCACGGGGTCTCCTTGGAATGTCCTTAGCTGGGATCAGCTTGAGATTCAAGCCGACAAAACTGTCGCTGATCTTAGCGACGCATCCAGCAAGGAAATCCAGGGAGAACTGGCTCGCGCACTTGACTACCCGGTATCCCCGTAGGGATTCCGACGAGTCGAACTCTGGGTGAGGACCTTCGGGGTTGTCGAGTACGTAGTTCATTACGAGGCTCGACAGCCTCACATCAATTTCCACCCATTTCTACTGCACTGCCAGCGGTGTCTTGCTATTTTCATCTATTATCGCCGCCTGTAGGTGATCTCTGGCGACGTCACTAAAATAGCGATGCTTCGCGGGTGCTGCGGACTCCGCATCACCTCCTTGCTTAGCCTTCTTTGTAATGGCCCCTTGGCCGCCTTCATTATGAGAGCGGTTCCGTTTCTTTGCTTCTGTGGCCTCGAGTGTGGCTGCACGATCTGTCTGTAACTTTTCGTACTCTTCGACTATTTGCATGTATTTTGCCTTGTCTTCCTCGTCACGCTCATGTACCGTACCGGCCGCTGCATTTTTGTCAATTTTATTTAACATATACAGCCAGAGAAGGCACTTCTTACAACCGCCCTTGCCCGGGCATCAGAGGGGACCGTACGCGACCAGCCATTTTTTACTACCCACTGGCCATTCATCCATCGGCACGGTTGCCTACACACCTTGGCTTGGGTAGTGTTGGTACGGTAATCCTGCCATTTCCACCTTCAGCAATAAAACAACACTACAGCTTGGATTGTTAAGGAATTTGCCGAAGGCTTCAATACCAGGCTTCCCTCTTAGTTCATGGAGGCATGATACAATTCACACTGTGAATTATACCATGACACCATTTAAGCCCCCTCGCCACGGCAAGACGACCAACGCTGAGGAGGCTTGGTACTTTGGACGCCTATAAAAGCCACACACATATACATATATGTATATACATTACAACAGGTTTGTTCAAAAATTTATAACCACCAATCATATAGTGGTAGTAAAATTTGCAATGCATTACCACTAAGGTGCATAGTAGTAGTGAAAACAATTTGGCACTACCACTAACCATTTCACTACCACTATGCACTTAGTTGTAATGCATTTCAAATTTCACTACCACTAAGTTCTTAGTGGTAATGCATTCACGAATACTACAGGAATAGTGGTAATGAAATGCTCAGTGCATTGAAAATTTAGTGCAGTGTGCCCAACCCTGCTAAAAACATTCATATGCACGTATGTAAGTAAAAACGCTTGAAAGAGCGAACACAACTCAAAAGGCAACGTAAAATTAAACGATGGGTGTTATAAGAATTTAAACTTAATAGCATATGTATGCGAAGGCATCAATAATGCCGAAATTGTTGTAATGAGCCTGCATTGTTCCTTGCAACCACTGGACTGGTACCTCTACTGCCATTTCCATCATCGTTATGATATAAAAACCACAGTGGATCACACGCCTAAAGTGAGTTGTTGAAGGTACAGGGCGCTCTAATGCATAAAATCTTTAATGGAGTTAAAAGGCGGGCGCGCACATGCGTTAACATTACAAATTATTATGATGGTTGCCACTGAATCAAGTCACTTAGGCTTGTTGTTGCGTAGCCTTTACGAAGATACAAATTTGTGATAATAAATATTCATGTTTTGAAAAGCGTACGTACATCACGAACTGACTGCCTACTCACCCAAAATGAATCCAGTATTTTGGTGAGTTGGCCTGTTCGCTGAATTGCACAGACTGTTACATATTTTTAGTAGTACAGTCAAATTCGTAAGGCATAAACATTTTTTGCAATGTGATTCTTTTTGAATAATGTGGGGCTAGTCACAATGCGCATACATATGTGCACAGACTAGATACACATAGCAAAATCTTTCAAAATAAGTACATCAATAAACAAGTATGTAATTAAAAAAAATATATAATTTTTTAAGACAAGCTTTTATTAGTAATAATAATAATAGATTGGCGCTTACACTACACATATGTTAGTGTTTGGTTGAGCTTCTCCTCCGATTTGTGGCGTACGCATTGATGTTGTCACACAGAGGGGGGGGGGGGGGGGGAACCTACAGTTTTACGCCGACTCCGAACGGCGACTGTAGTTTTTGGAGAAGCTTCTTTTTATGGCAGAAATACACTCAGAGGTTTGCCATTACCTGCCGAGGGGCGACCGCTATTAGAAAACTTTTTTTGTTTTTTTTTTTTGTTGTTGGGTTGAGCTGGGCTTGAACCCATGCTATACGGATTGGGAGCGCGCACTGCAACCCTGCAAAAATCGCGACTACTCCATGCATGCATGTAAAGAGTACTCCCGAAGGTCCAAGGAGTACTCCAAAATTAACCACAATTCATATAAAAAATATGGTCCAATTAACATTGCGATGTCCTAGGGCAGGACCATGTACTCCATCTCTGCATTACATCAGAGTAGCACAAAACTACTCCCAACATACTCCAATGACATTATCGTTATATTTTTTCGTTTGTACACGCTTTTGTTCTTCACTTCGCAGATGCTTTTTTTGAAATTAATAAAAACCAGAAACAAAAATTAAAAATTACATGTTGCCTCTGACGACATTCGAACCCGAACATGCTGGGAGCTAAGACTAACAGCTAGCATCTCTACACGCTCAGCTACAGCCAGACATGCAAATGTACTTTCAAATGCTTAAGTTCAATCACATGTCGTTAAAACACGAGCAGTGATCGGGTAACAATAAGCTGGTGCAGAGACACGAGTTGGTCCGCTACAGCATGACAGAGGAGCACTTTTGTAAGTACTCCAATATACCACAAATAGACTACATGGTCCAACGATTTTTGCAGGGAAACCACTACACCTCAGCGGCCGCTTTTATTATTATTTATCATTTTCACGTTAGTAATATAAACTTTAAATATGAATCACATCGGACCATACGAATTTTCCAGATATATCGACTCTTGCGCTACCTATAGGGCAATATTTTTTGTGGAGTTAATATTTTTTATGTACCTAGCGGATTATCTCATACTAGAGTGTCAGTTACTGTTGAAATTCGACCGTTTTTGTAGTTTTTAAGCGCCTATAATTCAATAAATATCGATAACTTGATGAATTTCATTTACTTGACACATTTCGATAATGCCATAAATTTTTATAGGTCGATAACTATCTATATATATCTATATTTCCACAACTCAATAAACATTGATCAATTTGAATAATAACGATAACTCAATAACATGCATAACTTCATAAATTTCAATAACCATAAACTTCGATGATTCGATAAATTTCGGTAACTTGATAACTTTCGATAACTAAATTTTTTATGACTGAATTTACCTCGATTCCTGTCGAAAAATTTCAAGAGTCACGCCCCTCTTCCTCTGCCGACTAACCCAAAAACAGTGGGCAAATAACTAAACATTCCCCTAAAATGCTATATGTAGAATCTTAATTTTTAAATTAAACTTGTAGAAAGGAAAAGGCAGATATGGGTCCTTCCGGTGCGTCGCCTTCTACATGGGAGCACTATGAGAGGGTGCACCAAATAATTGGAGGGTTCAAGGCAAATGTCCACACGGATCTCACGCTTGAAAGCATTGATGGCACGTATGTTTTCGTTTATTTGGAATCACTTGAATAAACATACGAGTACATATCGTCTCGCGTATGCCAGAAACGTGCATGTGCAAAAATGAAAATTTTGGGAAATCAAATTGATGTAATTAACATTGTGAAATATGTGCTATCCATGCATACTGGTATTCTTGGCTTTTGTATAACGTAGAACATCCAAAGATTAATCCAGTCAACTCAATAACTCAACAATTGGTAAATTTGCACATTTATGCTTCTGGCCCATTCAATTTTGGTCTGATAGTGTGGAAGTTATAAGTGGCTAAAAATTACCGCTGATTTTTTAGAATTTTTTTGTTGCATTTGCTTCCATATAACGAATAAACACAATACGGCTGTTCAGGATGTTGTGGAAATGGTCTTGGATTTGCAATTGGAATTGCATTTGCAATTTTTTGCTTGCTGCCATGGCAACCGCGTGCATTTTATTGTTGTGAATTTACAAATGCAACGACTATGTAAATCCTAGAGCATATGCACAAAATTTTTATAGGGAAGAAATCCGCAACACCTTCAGCGGAAAAAATCTAAATCTAAAAAATCAGCGGTACTTTTTAGTTACTTAAAACTTGCACTTTATTGTTCTTAAATTTAATGGGCCACAAAACTCCGTACTCGAAAATTTCCTAAAAACGTGATTACAATTTTTATTGCCCGCAGCTTTATAGGGCACTCTCGTAAAATTTCCAAGTCATTAACCTTTTTAACACGTTTCTTTATCGTATCGTCACCTTAATTTACAAAGGCTTTTCTAAACTGAGTTTTTCACTCATTTTGGTAGGATATATTAAAATACACCTTCAATAAAAATTTTAAAGTGTTAGCATTAAAAACAACAGGGTTACATGTTACTTTTTAAAAGGTCCTACCTGTTTTTGATATACTTTTGATAAGGTTTTTTGCTCCTGTAAAATAAAATGTTCGTTGGTTTTGGCCTTTGTGAATTAAGGTAACGATATACAATAAGCAAACATCTTTTCATTTTACAAATAAAAAACGTTTCATTGTATTAAAAATGTTTCAATGTACAAAAATGTTTCTTTCAAACAGACTCATCAAAAGCATCGTCATCCACTGCACCTCTACCGTCCCCAGGAACACCGTTGCCATCACCCTCGTCGCCACTGCCCTCACCAGTACCTTCAACGTCAGCGCCGGCTGGAAAAACCAAAAAATATAATTTCCAAGAAAAATTATTGGAAAAATTTGACAATTTATCGTTGGACGTTGCTGAACATTTAAAGAGAAGTGAAGAAAATGAAAAGGAGTTAATAGAGATAGAAGAAGAGAAAGCAGAGGTACAGGAAAGAACTGCGAAAGACAACGAGGAAATAAAACGAGCTCTGATATCTTTTTTAAATAAAAATTATACTTGTATTTAAATAATGACACTACACTGCGTTGCATAATTATAAGACCGCCACATATAAACAAGTTTTGACTACTTAGTTTTATATTATTTAATTTCAATTATTTTCCTAAAAAATCATAGTTCATTCTATAACAAACACGATACAAATTCACACTTTCAACTTTGTGAAAAAAATTATAAAA